AAACGTGAAAGAAAAAAATTTCATATAAAATGTATTTTCCAATTTTTATTAGAACAGAGATAGATCATCTTGAATGAAAATGAAATGAATAATATAAAAATAAATATCTCGTGCAAGGATAGAAATTATTCAAAATTATCGAGAATTTTTCTCTTCAAATATTATAAATGTTTATAAATATTCTTGATGCTCGGTCGATTCGACGTTTCTGAAATTTCGCAAGAAGAATCGCAACATTACGAAATAGTGAAAAACAGTAATAGACTTGTAAACAGGTGGAACAACTATAGAAATTTTATTTTCGTTACGCTGCGTTGATTTTTATTTGAAGCTATTCATTACTTAAATTAAAATTCCTCTTCTCGTGTATAGAACGATTCGTTGTACGAGATAACATTTCTTTATTCCTCCGTTTTTAAATTTTCTCTCTTTGAAGATTCTCATTCTTTGAAAGGGAGGTTGCGAGGGTAAACGGAAATGTGAGACACGCGAGGAGGATTGTTGGTCTTTTCGAAGAAAGGATTGATAGGAGCTGGTTTCATTTGCAAACTCATTTTCGTTAAATTTTGTATTATCTTGTTGTTCAAGTTCTTCACTTTTCTTTTTTCCTTCGTCGATTTTTCCTCCGTATTCCGTTTTCGGTAATAGAATACTTCTCCTGCTAAGGTGATCATCGCCAGGGCGAGTCCGAACAGGGTCGCGATAAATACTCCACCTGAAAATTTGTCTCTTTCCATTTTTATTCGGTTTAAATTTGCAACATTTCTAAAATGAATTTCATAAATTTTCAATTTCGAAGCTCTGTCTGGAGAGATCAGTGACAGCTCACCCAAACTTTCCAAAGTGATTCCTTCGTTGTCGTCAGAATTCAGGCATTGTGCCTTCAGCGATTGGTTCCAGTATTTGGAAGCCAACATTTCAAAGTATCTATCCTTCTGCAAGTCCAAAATCCTGGAAAAACGAATCAATGTAAATGAAATATCAATCATCCCTTTGAATAATGTCCTCGTGTAAAAACAAACTTTCTGCTTATCTCTTCCTGCAAATGGCTTCCTTGCTGGACAGCAATTGCATAAGGTTGTTCCGCAAACACTTCCCCAACCTCTGTCAAATTGCAATTCTTCGTTACCTCATACCGTATCTCCGACGAATCGTGGATGAAAGCGAATTCTGCATTTTCGCTTTCTATCACCTGAAACGGTACAAAAAGCAGGTTTAGTTTCAGACAGTTCGATTTCCCATACTCGATTCGATGCTTGATCGTCATTTTCATCACCTTTCGAAAACCCTCCGCTGAATTTGCAACTGGACCGACTTGCGTGATCGCTTGCAATATGTGACCGTATTGCTCCTTGATAGGATAATCCCAGACTCGATACTCTACCTCGTCACTTGTACTGTTCAACGTGATTTCTTTCCATACGCTAATTGGAATATGAAAGAAGAATTATTGAAAATTTGATATTTTCTCTCTCTCTCTCTCTCTTCTCTGTTTTGTAAGGAAAGAAAATTTTTTTGTTTCTAAATCGTTGTATATGCAATGTTTATTTTAAAGTTTATCAATAACTTTATTCTTTTTTTTTAACGATAGATAATGATCTATTACTTTATTTTTCAGAGAACTTACGTGTACAATTTATCCTCTGCGTTCTTCATATTCATAAAATACTGATGCTGATTAGAGTTAGCCACGACAGTGTAATTGATTCGAGATTGTCTGGCTAATTGTTCCAAAGATTGTACAGGAGACTAAAACAGTACACGATATTGCGATTAGTCCTCATTTTGAAGATCAAAAGGTATGTACATTTTCAATTAAAAGTCTCGAGTTACTAGAAATAAAAATTGGATGAATTTTTTTTTTATAAAATTGTATATGCATAAAATTAATGATTATGTCAATATAAGTAGCGTAATTATTTTGTTAAGAGTGTATTTTAATGAGAATAATTTTTGAAAACCTGCATTCTTTCCACAGTAAGGAAAGCAGCTAAATTAGCAGTGAACGTAGCCAACATTAAAACAACGAATAACCAATAAGCAGCAACTAGTATCCTGCTTGATAATGCTTTGGGTGCTTCGCCACCACCTTGGGGCGTGAAAGACGTCAAGGCGAACCAGAAACTCTCTTTCAACGTGAATTCTCTATATACACAGAATATAATTACGTTTGACAATCATTATTGATTAAGTAATTGCTTTGTCTTTATGACAATCGTTAACGATAAAATATAGTGGTTATTAAGGGTAATATTTATAGTCTAATCTTGATCTAATTCCAACAAATTACCAAAGATATTGACACGAACATTACTATAATATTAATAATAATAATCTAAATTTCCACTAATAAAACTTTGATAATTTTTTATTAGTAAGAACTTTTAAATTTTAGACATTTTAAAATTCTTACCGACAAGGATACGGATACAGTTGTTTATTATTCCTGGCGCTGTAAGGAGAATATTTGTCAAGTATCCAAATCATGATGCCGGTTAATGTTAAAGCTCCTACGATGCTTAACCACACTTCGACTTTGAGCACTGTCATAAATTTGAAAAGGGATGGTTTGCGGACAGGTTTTCTCATTACTTGTAACAAGAAATTAAAAAAAAAAAAATCGTATAATGTAAAAATTTGTTGTAACATTCAAATTGAAAATAGTTGTATTATTTACCAATTAATAAGCCGGATTGTTCGAAATAAGGGGCGACAAAATCGATCACTTCCTCACGTTCTGAAGTCATTGTCAATGCGGCAACTACGATATCTGTCTCCTAGAAAAAAAAAAAAAAATAATTAAAAAAAAGAAGTGAAACATAATAGAAGAATAAAAGAAAGAACAGAAATAAATTCATAAAAGAAGAATATTAATTTGATGGAAAAATTGAAGAGGATAATGTTTTATACAAAGAGATATGCACGGTTGCAGACTCGTAGGCGCCATCAAGTTCAATATATAGGGTATTATATTAAGAAAATTTCGATATTTCTTTAGTAAGATGGAAAAAGATAAAGGTAAAATGTGATAAATAAAAAAGAAGAATATTAATTTGATAGAAAACTTATGAGAATAATGTTTAATACAGGAAGATGTTTAATGCAGATTCACAGATGAAATGAAATTCAGTATACAGATCTTACTCCTTTAGCTAGATCACCAATCAAGCCGTTCCATTGCCCATTAGGTAATTTCTTGCCAAATTGTCGATCTTCAGGTATGATAAGATCATAATCAAATTGCATCTCTTCCGATAATTTCTTTACAAAGTCTATGCAATATCCATCCCACATGTCATTTCCATTCTCATCTTTCATAACTTTTCCACTCGCTGGATCTATTTTAGGTATTGTCCAAGGTACTGACTAATACAATTTTAATACTTGCATTAATTAACAAATCACAAATTCACGATGAAATTAAATGAAATTTGTTTATTAATTACAAGAGTGGTTCCAATTCGAAAGAATCTTTTAGCAGGTAATATCTTTTTATTCTCTGCCTCTTTTATCTTTCCATTTCTCGTCCAAGTGGCTAATGGTTCCAATAATCCATTCTCAAGAATTTCCAATTCTATTTCAGACTTATATGTGATCATTCCTTTCTCTGACCAATACTCAAATGTATCATTGCCTCCTAGTTTCTGTGGTAAAATATTTTTCTTCAATGATTTTTATCGCACAATTTAAACTGTGTGTGACTTACAGCAAGTATATTCTTGTTAAACGCCTCAATCGTGACATTTGAAGTTTGATTAGTGAAGTTTGATAAGCATTTACCACTTTTTGGCTCCACGCTAATACCTGATGCCTGAAGTTCGCTCATCAGGCTCACGATGAGGCCTATTAATCGTTTAAAATAATTCGAAAATATCTACAGAACCATCGCAAGATTAAACAAAATTATTTTAATTATCATATTATCAAAGAGAAATATATGGAAAATAGAAAACTCTCAAGTACTTTAACATCTGAAGGACAATTGCAAAGCGATTCACCGATTAGTTTACAACAAACGTCCATCTTCATCCATAGAACCGTGATGGAAACGTTCAACTGCAACTCCCCGTTGATATATTTAAAGTCCTTATAGCTATTATCGGTGAAAATCAATTTCCATATTCCATTTCTTTTGACCAATCCTCCTTGCACGGCCTATAAAATAGTTTTTTTTCAAGTTAACAAAAATAATAATTGCAAACAAATTTTTCACACATTTTCACTTTTCTCCCAAGCATAAATGCGACATAAATGTTTAAAACTTATTCTCTACCGTTTTGAAGAAATCCTCCATCTTGGCTGTACTCGCATAAATAGCGTAATAAGATGGTGATGGCCTCATACTCTTGATCTTCGACACCGTTTTCTCGGTGAATTCGTCGATCACGATTAACCTTAAGATCGAATTTCCGATCAAATAGTAGAGGCTCTGATTCAACTCTGTTAAAAGAAGTCAATAAATCGATTTTTCAAACAATATTTGGAAAAAGTTTGGATCGAAGGTCGTTACCAGGGTACCTCTTTCATCTTCGAAGATCAGAGCAACATCAGTGGCGTTTTTCAACATCAAAAGATCATCGATCGCTTGGATGTACGGGTTTATATTGCTCTCACCCCGTTTGTATATTATTCCATTCTCGTCGGCCACGATCCGAAGATTATCCCAACCGGTCCAGGTCATATCGAGTATGATACTGATTCCCTTAAATAAGGCAGCACATACTGCAAGTTGATTTTAACAAAAACAAGAATAAGAACGGATAATAGCAAAATATTTTGTTTATATTGTGCAATTAATATAAATTAGAAACAATTAGAAATTAACTGTTATATTATATTGAAGAATTTGTTCAACAGAATTTGTACGTTTTAGGTATTTCTAGATGCTAAATTCAAGAAAAAATTCGTTGGAATCTTCGTATATAAAGATTTGCAAAGAGATCTAAAGAATTAATATTGCGATTAAAAATTATTCAATATTAATTTTAACATGATTTTAAATGTTTTGAGTGTTAAATTTTAGAATCTCGTTGAAATCATTAAATTTTTCACTTTGGATAAGCAACAAAAATTTGTAGAAATTTGTAGAAATCGTGAAAACTTCGGATAGTGCTGGTGCTTTTAAATAATACTTTTAACTTCTTAACCTTTCTTAAAGCTGGCGTCTACATTTGAACGTTCAACTTCGATTGTAGAAATATGAACAGAGATGATGTCGTTGCCATAATTCTTTTCTGCTTGTGGTAGAGCTTCGTTCAAAATGTTCAGGATCGATTTATCCGGTTCTTCTATCACTATCACTGTGAAAAATAAAAATGTGATGTAAATTATTGTGAAGGAAAAAAGAAAGAAATTATTTACATATAATTTTTCAGTTAAAATGTTTCATAAAAAAAGAATATTAATGCAATATAAATTAATGGAGAAGAAAAAAATTATTGACACGTATAATTCTTCAAGTAAAATAATTCATAAGAAAATATCCTAATCGTACATCAGTATAGATATATTGGTATTAAAAGAATATGCAATTTCATCAAACACGCGATCCATTTATATTTCTGATTAATGATTATTTCTTACATTGTTTCACGTGGTTTCGTCACGAGAGATCACATCTAATCGACCAATAATTATCTACACGTTGTAAATTATTATTCTCGATTTAAAAAAGATAATACGATATATTTTTTTTAAATAACAAAAAACATACGACACATGAGTTGTGCTATCCGATCTTTCTCTATTTTAATCTCTCCTTCATCGTGTATTAATTACTCTCGTGAATCTTCTTTCTATGTCAAGGATCAGAGATTGACCGAGTCGGCGCACAGGAGATGCGGAAGGTTTCAGTCAGACGTTCGTCACGTGAATAATTCAACAATAGTACAGCAACCTTTATCGATGTATCGATGAACCAATCAAAGTTTCATGCCGTCCAATCAATGCTCAACTCGTGTATGTATTTAATTTCATATCATCTTTACCGTGTACGATTGTACAGAGAGAGAAAAGAGAAATAATTTCTAAAAAGCAATTTCAAATCATCTGTTATCTGTTTAAAAAAATCAAGCATTATTCTGTGACAAATGATGCGAAAGAAAAATAACAAATTCTGCGATAAACAATGCAAACAAGAAGATCAATCATCGTAGCAAGGGATTATAAACCAGTTTTCAATCATTATCTATTTAAAAATTCAAGCAAAAAATCAAAATCAAGAATTTATATGTAATAGAATTAAAGAATTATGTATTCGGTGCCAAATCCCAAAAGCAGAAACTACAAGCGTGACAAGGAAACGAAATCACAAGACTGTGCATTTCGTGCAAAATTCCAGAATAATATCTCGTTGAAAAATTTTCGAACGTTTAATATCATTTTAAAATGAAAAAAAAAAATCACTCAATTGACATACTTACGCATGTTCATAGGTATTTGACAAATGGAAACACCGAGAAACGCAAGCAGCAATGCATACACTGCGACCAGAGTCGTGGACATGGCTTAAGAGAATGGAGTCGGTACCGGATGGATGGACGAACAACGGTCGTCTTCCGCGGAAACAAGGCAGGTAGACAAGCCTGAGGACACTGTCGACGACGCCTGCGCCGCCACGCTTATAAATATTACACCCTCGTCCGTCAAACTATGGCCCTTGTTCCCCGCTAAATGCATTTTGATTACGTGAAGGCACGATGTCACATCTTGACACGAGTCCCTTCCATCTTGGCCATCGATTTATCGCTCAACTTGACGTCTGCCAATGATTACCAACCTGAGTCGCTTGCGAATAGATTTTGCGAATAGGTTGTTGGATCGTTGAAGAATGTTTGGTGGATGCTGAAAGAGAACACGATTTGTGTGAAATTGGATTTGAATTTTGATTCGTAAGATTGGATCGAAGAAAAGTTTATTAAGTGCAAAAAAAGTTGTTCGAGAATGCTCGTTATAAATATGAAACTATATCAAGTTTTATTATAAAGGAAAATTTCATTGCACGTATTAAATTTAAGAAATGGATATTTAATTATAATTATAATTATAATATTTTATATTTAATTATATTTTGTTTCTATGCATATATTTACCAAGTTGCACATTTATATCTGTGATTTCTTTTGCATGTGAATCGCAAAAGAATAAATGATCGATACGCACATTATTGATTCGCCTTGGACGTAATGCATTTGTTCGGTAACAGTTAACAGAGGAAGCCTATAATCGTTGGTTGAAAACTAACTAGTCTTCTAATCGATAATTGATTGTATCGCGATGTGACCCATTCCTTCGTAGTTGAATTCGCGAAATTCGATCGTTATTTTCATGACCGTTCGACGATAAAATTCCCTTTAACCGCGTTCATCGAAATCATTCCATCAAATCCAATTCTTCGATTGAATCTCAGATCGAGTGAAGAAAGGAAAAGAAAAAAAAAGAAGAAGAAGAAGAAGAAGAAGAAGAAGAAAACGAAGCAGATGATAGAATCGTGTTTCTCGATCGACGAGTCTCAGCCACGACGAACGTCACGTTTTCCCATTATCAGTTCTGATCATGGTCTAAGGTTGATTAATTTCCATGGTTGAGGAAACCTGTGAATCGATGGTGCGCGGTCACAAAGGAATAATGACGCAAGGATCGAGATTGCTCCGCAGATGTTCCCGAGGCCAGCTGAGGCGAAATGCTTCAATAGTTCTTGCACTATTTTTAAATATATTTCAGATGTCCTTTATGCAAACGCAATCTCGAGGAACCTGCCCCTATTGTTTCTCACTGTTTCTCTCTTTCTTCAGAAGCTGCGTGACAAGTTTAGACTTGATATCGTTGTGAAAGTACGTTTGAAAAAATTCGAAATAAAATTTACGATCGATTTGACCGTTAGGTTTCCATTTTAAAAAATTGGCAAAAAATTACCTTGGCATTGATGAGTTTAAAATAAGAAAAAGAAAGTGAAGTGAGACTGGCTTTTACTTCACGTTAGAAGTCAATGGTTCAAAGATATTTGAAATTATAATGAGAATATTTTCCGATAAAGAAAGTATTATTTTTCTCTGAAAAGATGTAAAATTTGTTTATTACTATGTGACAAAAAGATAGAAATAATCGAACGAAAGAAAGCGCCACGTTGTGTCCACTGAATGAACTTTCTTGCCACAAGTGTCGCATTTCGTTGTAAGATGTCGTTGTATGTGCACAGGATGCATACGTTAAAAGACAATTCCGATTACCGTTCCGTGTGTTTCATTGGACTTTATGAATCGGCGTATTGCGTTACGTCATGCACTGGCTTGCATAATGCAATACAAGATTTTTATCGTTACGTGAATTAAAATTAATGCAACCAAGAAAGGAATTCTTCTATGGGAAGGGCCGATAAAACAGAAAGCGATATCATCGTTCAATTCGTAAATAAATGCTTCGGTTTATCGTCAAACTGTTGTAGAAAGCTGTTGTTTCACGATCATTGTCCGTTATTTTTAAGTTATCCTTTCTGACTTGAGTTTAATTTGTTGTTGTTAAAAGTGCGGTTAAACTTATCCTTTGCAAAAATGAATAAACAGTAAAGAACTTGAAACGAGATGTTTAATTTGACTCGTCATAACTGTACCTACAAATTATGCCCGCTTTCAACATTCCATGGTGAGTGAGCGGATCTTAAAGAAATGTTTAAAAAATACATGCAGGATGGCAATACAGGCATTTCCACCACTGACGTATCCCGCCGAAGAGTTTCGGTATATTTTTCTTGCATAATTTAGTTCACCAGACGGTGCAGTTCTTTTAATCGGCGCCGATTTTCGGCCTAAAATACTGCTCCAGTTTCATGGAATATGGAACATGAAATCCCTTCACGATTTTTTGTGCTTTTGCAAACGTGCTCTGTAACCATTGAAATATTCATACACATAAAGGCAGCGTAACTATTTTGAAATATATGTAATTATTGCCCATGAAAATTATTTTTTATATCAGCATATAAAATTCAAATTATAGTCTATTAAGTCTAAAATTCAAATTATCTAGTCTATAATTGAAGGGAAATTAGGGCAAGACGAGCTAAAACATGTGCGTGAGAAGTAACTTTGTATTAATAGGAGAGAATATTTGCATGGTACTACAATAATGTAAATGCGTTCATACGACTGATACACAATTTAACTACCGTTACGGGACACTGTGGAGAGAAGTGGTGTCAATCGAACGGAGAAGTACGGAAACGAGAAAAAGAGAAGAAACGGCGAAAGAAAACACGCGCGAGAACGCATGCATTAGAAACGAAATGCACGCGTCAAAACGTATTACAATTTCACGCACGAAAAGTTACACGAAAAAGCGTTCGTGGAACGCGAGCCAGTACAACGGATTACACCCTGTACGGAGAATGATAAGTTGCGATGGAATTGTGGACAATTTTGTCGGAACAAGCTAACATGGATGAACGAATTATTTTACAAACTTCTGTTTCCGTGGACGAGTAGGTGTGACGAGAATTTGGAAGAAAGTTAAACCGTGAAGATATCACGCGGTGAGGAAAGAAAGAAGGAAAGAATAGAATTTTATTCAAGAAGCGCTCTAATGCGGGAAGTACAGGCTCGGTGATTTCCGGATGCAATCGGTTGTTTCCGGCACGGCCGCCCTCCCGAACTAAAACCATTCATTCGATGGAGAGCGAGAGGCGAAGGATTGAACGGAGAACGGGATAGGAAGGTGGTAGGTGGAAACGAGAGTTCCCGAGGAAGAAGGATGGAGAAAGTGAGTGAGCGAGTGAATGAGAGACGAGCAGAGCGAAGAGTAAGAGGAAAGGAGAAGGAAAGCGGCGTGGCAGGGTAGAGAGGCAAAGAGAATACATGAGAGAGGTAGGCTCGGCCGATTCGAGAAGGCTGGCAGGCTGCTGGTAGGCAAGAGTAAGAAAGCGAGGGAGCATACTGGCTGGCAGAGGCAGACTGGCCGGCCGTGCGCTGTAGTTAACAGAACTGCTAGCAAATCGGCAGCAGATGTGGCCAGTTAGCTCTGTGCTGTGTTCTCGTTCGGATCTCGGTGTTTCGTATATTTCGATGCATTGACTGAATCCGCAGTCGATAGTAGCGACATTAGCTATCAATTGTCGAACGTGATCCTCGTCGTCGCGACACATATCGAAATTGAAAGAACGATGCGAGAGTGAATAGCGGAGAAAAGCTAACAGAATCGATGACAAGTCGTGGCAAAGTGAAAACAACTTAGTTTTGCGAGCATAATATCGACGTATAGGATAGAGCAAGACGAAATAGGATAGGATAGGATAAACGACAAGGGGAACAATTACAATCTATCGAGAAGAGAATCACAACGTAGAGAGAAGAGGAGAGAACAAATCGAATGGAACAGTCGGTCGCGCGCCAGCACCAAGAACGCAGTGACCGTCGTACCTGTCCGTCGGTGGCCGAAGACTTGTCCGATCGAGACTCGGGAGTGATGTGGCAACATTGCTGGTGGCTCGCGAGTGGAGGAGTCAGTCGTTGCTCGGCTGTTCTATCGTAGTCTGTGTCTGACAGTGCAGTGTCGTTGCCAATAGAACCGCGAGGGCCCGTCAGGGCCCACGAACAACGCGAACGAGCACCGCGATAAACACCGCGGTCAAGATGACATATTTAAGAAAAATAAGAACGAATAACATCACAAGTATCGAAGGGACAATCGTACAAACACGTCGTTCATTGCTACGATAGCGTATGTTCACGTTGTTTATTACCATCATAAAATAGCTCAAGAGAAGAGAGAGTTTTCATGACTTGCGAGAGAGTAACAGTGTTTCGAAGCGTACAATCGCTGTGTGACGCGCGTATTCGTTGTATATACACATCCGTTTCGAGTCGCTACAAGCGGATTTTCTTCGAACCTTTGTAGAAGTTCCTAAAGTGCGTGCGTACGGTTCTACGCGGCTGCTACTCGAATGTCGAGAAACGAATGAGTGCGTGAATCGTGACAACATCGTGTCGAAGTGTACAGAGAATACTCAGAGAGAGAGTGAGAGAGAATCCGTCTCTCTTTCTCTCGCATCCCGTAGAGGCCGTAGTCGGACTTTACGCCGTCGTACGCGCTTCTCCCCTCCCCCTTAATAGACTGCTTCTTTCTCCCTCTCTCTCGCTGAAGGCCAATTTATCTATCCCGTCGGCCGTACGTCTGTCTTAGTCTATACCATTCCTGTCTGTGCGCTGGCAGAGTTTTCACTGGCGCGACACGGCACGGCACGCGCGCACGGTACGACACGTAAACGAAACCGGCTGTCCAGGCGAATCGGGAGTGTCAAAGATCCGAAAAATCACGGGCATGGGAACAGTGTGTGCCATGGACTGAAAAATAGTGCGGGACCCGTTGTCTCGTGCTTACCGCCGTCCAAAGAAGATCTTGCATTTCATCCGGTGCGTGCCTGTGTGTTCCTTTACACCAAAGGAGGAAGAGAGGTTAGGTTAGGCTAGGACTCGCGTCACCCCTGGCCACAGTCCGTCCTTGTCTCTCTTTCACTTGGTTCCCCTACCTCTCTTTCTCTGGCATACAGCGAAGAGGAACGCAGACACCAAGAGTCCAGACCGATTACATACATACACACACACATACACACACGCAGGACAATTGGGGAAAGAGGAGGAAAACACAAATGCCGATCGCCCGTGGAATTCTGGTCGCTGGAACTGCGGCTCATTGCTGGTCTTCCGCCGCTGGCATGCTTCGATTCCTCGCTAGACTTTCAGGTTAGCACGCAATCCATCTCTTATTCGTTGGACAGTAATGTCTTCGATGTTGACGGCTGCATTGTCGATAATTTTTCGTTTCGATGGGAAAAAGCTACATGCCGCGCACACGAGGGGAGCCGCGACAGGGAAAAACTAACGACGATCGTCGTCACGATATCATTGCCTACGAACGATATTCGCCAATAAGAATTGTCGATAACAATTACCAATAAGAATTCTCCTGTTCATGATAGTAAATCAATCAATCAATTGGAGAAGTTTTGACGGATCTCGAACACGAGAAAATATCGTTCTTGCTTCTTGTCTGTTTCATATACGTGAATATATCTTTATTTCGATTTTTTTTTCTCTATATATATATGTGCGCGCGCTTGTGTCTCTTTTCCAACATCGACGATGCGCACCGTGCCTTAGACAGACTCTTTATACTTCGGTAAAAATTTCGCTATTTTCTCGGCCCGCGTCTAGTCGCGTCGGCGGCTCGCCGTCGGGGAATCCGTGCGGTTTCGATTCCCAGACTTTCGAGTCAGTGCACCGCTACTGCTAGCTGTTAAATGGAAGTGTACAACGGACGACGTAGACAGAATAAGAGGAACAAAAACGAGAGACGGCCTCGTGTAGCCGCGGTATTATACGAGTTCGCCGCGTGTATCCCGTGCAGAGAGGATTTGACGTATCGACTCGGATTTCCATAGCGTCGCGTAAAATTAACCTTCCCCGCCTCTTATCCCCACTCTCTTCTCCTTTAATACATATCGCCGATCGTTGTCATCAGTTTAATACGTGTTTTTCTTCTCGCTACATTTCTTTTTTCACCGTTACGAATTTTCATGATTTTTGCGATATTTCATCTATCTCGCGATAAATATATTTTAACGTGTCTTTTAATTCTACTTTATGTACGATGAAAGATATGAAATAAGAATATTATAGAAGATATATAGTAGATAAGATCGTTCGCCGCGTATATTCATGTTATTAATAACGTTTTCGATATTTTGTTAATCTTATCTACAAGGTAAGATAGGTAAACAGGAAGGAAGCGGTTCGCGATTCTCGATTATCTGATCCATCGGTTATTTATATCGATTACACGTATTGATTCGATGGAAAGGATCAGTCATTCTTTATTCACGAGGTGGGGACTTATGAATTTCACGTGAATTTTACAGGTTTGATTATCAACATTTGCTTTATCGAAATTGCATTCGTAATTCGTTCCCAATAAAACAAAATGGATTTTATAATTGATTGTTAAATTGAAATGTAGAAATTAAACGATTCGTAGGAGTCGAACCGCATAGTAGCATAATAGTTTCTGTGAGAAAAAAAAAAGATAGAGAATTTTATTATAAAGAAAGAATGGCGATGGTAATTATTTGGATTACAGCAATCCGTGGCTGCGTAGCAAGAATCAGTGTCCTCTTGACACGCCATAGCGTCACAGCAACACCAATTCTTCTCACATCGGTGTTAATTAGCAGCCAAATGATCGCTATTGTCGTCGCTTTCGCAATGATCAACGCCGCGAAACGAGCTCTTGTTCGACAAGCGAATCCATTAATTTTGTTCTAAATTTTGTTGCTTTGAAAATTAATATTTTTTTCTCTATTTTTTTAAAAATTTTATAAATTTTCTGGAATATTTTTTTTCTTTTTTCTTTTTTTTAAATATATTTTTATTTGCATACAAAGTATAAAGCCAATAACAAACAATATCTATTTTCAGACTGTTGTGAAATTAATTTCCAAAAAAAAAAAAAAAAAAAGAAAAGAAAAATTTTCTATAACTTTTAAAAGTCGAAATGAAAATATCTTTGAAATTTCGTTGCACGTAACATCGAGGTTAAATAATTAATATTTTCAATATATGCATTAGAAATTTTCTTACGATTAGAATTAATCAAAACCGTCATTTCGCTAATCAATCTTTCTTAATACATCTTATCGTTTCTCATAACAATCGAAGCTCGGTTTCTAATATCGATAATTCTGTTTATCTGATTTCTCGATTCATCATCGACTAATCTCCAATCATAAAGCGAGTCCCATCGCGATTAAAAGAGAATCTTCCCGGTCGAATTCCCAACTCGAACAGTTTCGTATCGATTCAATCGAGACAAACAGCGGCCAATAGGCGAACGATCCGCCCCACCCCCTCTCTCCTGTCCGTTGTACATTAATTCATCGACGAGTGAATGAGTTAACCTCTACGCAAAAATCGGGCGCGAATACATCAAAATATAAATAGAAACGTGTCTGAGACCCGGTGCTGTGTGTTTCGATTCGAGAATTTACCTATCTATAGTCAATTTTGATCAACGAAAAGTGTGAACAAGTGAGAAATATCGAATAGAGATCGGTGGCGTCCACGACATCACGAACGTATCGTCGGATTTTTCGCAGCGTGCAAATACGTGTACGTGTGGAAGAGATCGATGCAAATCGCGGCAAAAGTGAGAGTGGCAATGAGTCAACATCCGCGTCTGCTGTTTTCTAGCCATCGATAGATTTCGAATAGAGAATAATACGCAACACAGTTCGTTCGTGCATCTTTTTTTCTCTTTCCTTTCTACCGTAGAGGTATGTATCTCGTTCTTTCTCTCTCTTTCCTTTTTCTTTTCTTTTTTCTAGGGATATTTCTTTCTCGATTTCTTTCTTTCTTCTTCTTTTTTTTTTTCACGCGAGTTATTTTCCGAATGGGGAAAAGGTTGATTCGAATTCGATAGGGCAGGATGCAGACAGGAGCCGAGTGATTTTCTTGTTAAATCGCTTGCAGACGCTTTATCTTTAGAAGCCACGGACAGACAGTGGCACCGGTTTTTTTCTCCTTAACGGAAATAGCTATCATTCTATGCGCCTTAGAATGAACCGGCAATACTCCGCAAAATTTATTTTCGACGTGTAGGTTTACGTATCCGCCGTCTGGCCGGAATATCGGCCGGGGGATCATCAAAGGGGGCGAGAAACCGGGAAATTCGCTAAATTTCGATCTCGTTCGAATCGTCTCGAGACCAAAGCGCATCTCGTCTGGCGCATTCGTCGTCGCGCATTCGTCCAATAGGATTTCTCTAGTAACTTTGGTGCACTTGTATCTTCCAATGGGTGTAATTGTATGAAAAAAGAATTCATTGTCACCGATTAATTTTTTTTAAATAATTAATCAATCAATCAACAAAAACAAAAATTGAAAAAGAAATTTATTTAAGCATCTGTCAAAACAAAAAATCGTATAATAATTTCACAATTATTCTCTTCTCGGTCGAACGTAAGAATTCCTCCTCCCTCCTCCCGTTCCCCTCCCCTAAAAAAAGGCGACTTCTCACTTTCACTAGCATATTTTCTTTTGCTTTATCCTTATCAGAATAAAATTTATCTATTATAATAATAAGGATAGAATTTTTTTTTGTTAAATTCATCTAATTATAAAAAAAATCATAGTGCATAGTAAAAGATAGAATTTGTTCTCAATTTCGACGAGAAAGTGACATTTGATTATAGAAGGGTATTGGGTAAATTGGAAAAATATCGTTGCATCGAATCATCGCTCGATTACCGTAAAATTTCGTGAAGACTCGACCGTTCGTATGATTCACGGTTCCGGTTAATCGATTCGGCCGATAAAACACCAATACAGGGATCTTTTATTTCCCCTAGGATCGCATTGGTATACATGAAATTTCGCGGCGCGAAATATTCGAGAGTATTTCTGTCCCCATTAGCAAATAGCACATGAATTATACATGGCTGACTGTTAATTAGCAGCGATGTGTTATATGTCGAGTTTATCGAGTTGGAAAATTAAATGATTCGATACGTGCTCGTGGATAGAAAGGATTGCTAGTGTCGAATTTATGACGTAGTCCCTGGTAAAGGTCCTTCTTTTGCCTAGGACTCGCCATCAGGTGTTATTTAATGCAGGTGTCGAACGAAAGTTAGAGACGAACCGATCGTTCGAGTAGTATCGAATATCGATATTTTAATAATATTACCAATCATTACGCCATTTTATTATTAGAACTCTTATTAAAAGATACTTCTTTTTTCCTCTTTTATTTTATTATGCAACATTTTAATTAACAACAAAATTATTGCTCAAAATAAATATTCCACTGTTTAATGTAATTTATTTTTAATCTTTAATACTTGATAATATTAATGATGAATATTCGTATTTCGATTCATTTTAAATAGAAGAAATTTTAATCGAAGGAGATTGTTATCCGTGTTCGAAGATATATTCCACACAAATGACTTCGCTTTTGATCACAGTAACGCAAAGGACATTTTCATTTTTCGGACAATGATGCCTCTTTCTCTCGTGGAATTTACAATATCTATTTTTAAACAAGAAGGGGGACTCTCGATACGACAAATAATTGGCCATCAATAAGATTCCTCCTTCGTTTTCGAATTATCCTTTCTCTCTTCTTCTCTTTCATTATATTAGAATTTTTTTTTTTTTTCACTTTTAGTATACTTAAAGCATAATAATAAAAATTATTATATTACAACTTTTCTTTCGACACTTTTTCGAGCCAAATTCCAAGATTAGATCTCTTTCCGAAAAATTGAGTGAGAAAAGGCAAATTCCATTGTTTCATATTTTTGCAGTCCAGCACTGTGGTTTTCCATGGAATTCCGTGGAATCGGCCAGGTGAAAGGGCGATTTCGGGATCCTCGCTAACGAGGATACGTGTATCCGGTAATATCGTGGCCGATCTCGAACGGTGAAAATCGGTGTTAACGGTGGGCTGCGTCGCTCACTGTCTCTCTCTACCCGTTTCGCTCGTAAAATCGCTAGTGGAAACCGTGCTCGCGAAAAGTTTGTCCGAAACGAGTTTCAACGCTCGCGCGTTGTTTAAAATCTTCAAATTTTCAAATCTCGTTTCAACAACACTTATAACCAAAAATAAAACGTATTCACGTTTAATTAAATAGATTTTTAGATAGATTTCTTGAGCAATTGAAGCAACGATAAAATTAAAATTTCGACGA